GAGGCAGCAGATCCCAAATCCCATCCCAAACCGCTCCTACTGATCCCCACATCCCAAAAAAAAAAACCTTTTCCCCACAAATCCGTGCTGGAGGCGCTGCAGAGGCAGAGCCGGGCCGTGTCCTGCTGGAATCCCTGGGAATTCCCGGGATTAGCCCAGCCCAGCCCAGCCTGGGGAGCTCGAGGGGAGCTCCGGGGCTCTTCCAGCTCTTCCAGCCGGGCTGGGATCGCTCCAAGGCGGCATCCCGAGGGTGGTCCCAGCCCTGGCGAGGGGAGGAACCGCGGCCAGGCTGATTCCTGCAGGGGCAGCGTCCCCTTCTCGCCCGGCACCAGCCCGGAGCGCTCCCGGGGCTCCCCTCGGAGATCATCCCGGGGCTCCTCATCCCGGAGCGCTCCCGGGGCTCCCCCCGGAGATCATCCCGGGGCTCTCTTGGGGCTCATCCCGGGGCTCCTCATCCCGGAGCGCTCCCGGGGCTCATCCCGGACCTCTCTCGGGGCTCCCCCGGAGATCATCCCGGGGCTCTCTTGAGGCTCCCCCCGGGGCTCTTCATCCCGGAGCGCTCCCGGGGCTCCTCGTGGGGCTCATCCCGGTCTCCCGACTGAAGTTCCTCCTGTCTTTCCCGGGTGTTGGCAGAAGCGAGGGTATCCCTGGGCACAGCGGGTCCCTTTCCCTCCTCTTGGAATTCTGCTCCTGGTATCCTACTCCTGGAATTCTGCTTTTCCCCTGTTGCTTTCCCTGCTCTTTCCCTACTCCTGGAATTCTGCTCTTTCCCGTATTCCTTTCCCTGCTCCTGGAATTCTGCTCTTTCCCCTGTTCCTTTCCCTGCTCCTGGAATTCTGCTCTTTCCCGTATTCCTTTCCCTGCTCCTGGAATTCTGCTCTTTCCCGTGTTCCTTTCCCAGCTCCTGGAATTCTGCTCCTTCCCCCTCCCCCAGCCTTTCCTCGACCCCTGAGTTTGTTTTCCCAGAGGAATCAGCCGCGGATCAGCTCAGGGATCAGCCCCGGGATCGCCCCGGGATGCCGCGCCCGGAGCGCTCCGGGCCGGGCCGTCCCTCGCCGAGCGCTTTCCGGGTGCCAGGGAACTTTTCCCCGGCGCTGCAGGAGCCAAACCCGGCCGTGCCGGGGCAGATGTGGGGGATCCGCGGCATGGAAAATCGGGATCTTGCCGGGTGGACGCTCCTGGAGGCAGAAGCGGCTTCGTCCCGGCTGGGTTTTGTGCCCTCAGCCTGGAATGTGCAGGGACGGAGGGAGGGAGGGATGGAGGATGAACCCCCCGCTCTCAGCCCATCCCTGCGGGGTCCCGGCGGGGGTCTCTGGGTGGTCCCAGCCCCTCGGGCCGTGCCTTTTCAGGAGGGCACAACCGTGCGAAAGCGGGGCGTGGGGAAGGAAACATTGCCGCCTCGTTGTTCTCCAGCGTCCCACACACGGAGCCGGCCCTCGGGAAAGCTCCGTGCGCGGCCGGGGATCTGCAGGGAAAGCAAACAATGGCATCCCCAGGGACAACAATGCCCCATTGTCCTTTGAAGCCCGAACAATGAGACAATGGCCCTCAGTCCGCTCCCTCCATTCCCAGGCACGCCCCCCCCGCGGCCCCGGGACCGCCCGGGCCCCGGGGCTCCCGCTGGCCCCGAGGAGCCGCCGCGCCCGCCGCTCGCTGGCCCCTCGTCCCGCTCGGCCCCTCGCTCCCGGGGTGAGTTCCGAGGGGTCCCCGCGGCCTCTCCCGCTCGCGTGGGGTGTTCCCGGTGAGAAGGAGGAGGAGATGGAGGAGGTTTCCCTTTGGATCCTCGGTGTTTCGGCGGCGGGGAGGGGATGGAAAAGTCCCGTCGGGTCACGCGGGCCGTGCCCGGAGAACAGTGGGGCTTTGTTGTCTCCGGGGGTGGCCACTTGTCAGCTCGCCCTGAAGGATTCCTGGGGAATCCGAATCCTCCTCTTCCTCCTCCTCCTCCTCCTCCTCCTGGTGGCGTTGGGGACGAGCCCGCCCTGGAGCCGGCAGGTCCGGGAGGAGGCGTGGGGGCCGGGGGGTGCCCCGCATCCTGCGGGGCCTGGGGCACCCCGAGAGTCTCTGAGCCGCTCCCCAGATGTCCCCAGGCCACCTCCAGCCGCCCGCGGGGACCCACCCGCTGTCCCCGTGGTCGCCAGGAGCTGCGGGGCGAATCCCAGCTGGGGACAGCGGGGGTGGGTGGTGCCCACGCTGCCACCCCGAGGGTCCCTCCGGGAGGGCACAGCCGTGGAATGCTCTCCGGGGGCTCCCCAAAATCCGGGCGTGGTGGGGAGGCAGGGCTGGGGGGAGCCGGGACCGCCGGTTCCAGGGTCGGGACTGCTCGGCTGGGCTCGGCTCAGCTCAGCTGGGGCCACCTGGGGTCTCATTTGTCCTTTATTTTTTGGCGTGGGGATGGGGGACACGGGGACCTGGCTGGCCCCAAAGGCCACCGGCAGCTTCCAGCGCCCCTTGCGGGCTTCCAGCCCCCCCAAAATCCCGCATCCCCCCCAAATCCCGCTCCTGCCGGTACCTACGGGCAAACAAACGCACCTGAATAGGGAATGAATGGAGTGAGAAAAGAGCCCGGAGCACTTTGTGCTCGCAGCGAGCCGGGAACAATCGCTAAATACAAATCAGCGAGAGAAAAGGCAGAGAGAGAGGGAGAGAGAGAGAGACAAAAGCAAGAACGGCGGCACAAAGGAGAGGAATGAAATGGTAAAGTAAAGTCAAACAAAAAGGAGCCGGGCTGAGACAAAAGGAGGGAACAATATCCCCGAGGCAATAGGCTCCTGAACAATGGGGACAGTGACAGCGGCACAAAGACACACTGTTTGCAAGTAGACGTTATCTCACACAGCCACTGGCAGGCCTGGCCCTGGCGCTTCTATTTTCAGGGATGCTTTTGTGCTGCGCTGAACAATATTCCTTGCATGGCTGCAGATACTGAGATCAGGGGAGGCTTTTTTTGGTTTGGGTTTTTTTTTTTTTTTTTTTTTTTTTTTTT